GGAGCCTGAAAAGATCCACTTGTTTCCTTCTAGATTAACTCACACATGGAAAAACAGGCCAAGAACTAAGACAGCAGCACAGTGAGAAGAGATGGGAGATTGTTATTTCTCAAGGGAAACCATTTACCTCCAGATATTTCTCAAGGGGAATTGGTGATCTCCAGATATAATCTTTACAGTAGTCCCCGTTTATCCATGGAGGATGCATTCCAAGACCCCCAGTGAATGCTTGAAACCGTGGATAGTATTGAGCCTTGCATATATACTATGTTTTTTCCTATGCATACATACCTATGATAAAGCTTAATTTATAAACTAGGCACAGTAAGAAATTAACAACAATAACTACTAACACAATAGAACAACTATAACAATATCCTGTAATAAAAGTTACTGTACAGATCTTAGCAACCTCCATATAGGATTTTTTTTCTTTGCTTATTGAGAACTTTCAACTTTTCACTTAAAGGAAGCACTTTACAGCTTCTCTTTGGCATATCTGAATTGCCAGCATCATTAGTCTTGTACTTTGGGGCCATTATTAAGAAAAATAAGGGTTTCTTGAACACAATACCCCTCCAGTCGATCTGGTAATCACAGTGGCTACAAAGTGACTAACAGGTGGGCAGCATATACAGTGTGGATACCTGGACAAAGGGATGATTCACCTGCAGGTGGGACGGGGAGGGAAGGCTGGAGATTTCATCATGCTACTCAGAACGGCGTGCAATTTAAAACTCATAAATTGTTTATTTCTAGAATTTTTCATTTAATTTTTTCGGACCATGGTTGACCATGGCCAACTGAAACTGCAGAGAGTTGAGACCATGATAAGGGGGCTAATAGGGGGCACTGTACTTAGCACAGAAGAACTGGCAAGGTGGGCTCTCTAACTTCTGTAATAACATAGGATGCAAACAACGTCCTTGGCTTTTGGCAGGTATCTTGTGAGGTCCCTTGTGCCCTGAGACTGCTAATTTTGGCTGTCCCCAGACTTTCTAAAGAGAAGGGGGTGTGGACCTCAGGACCATCTGTGAGGTGAGGTGGAGAATTCCTTAGCAAATTAATTTTTATATTTCAATAAAACAGAAATAAATGTGACACATTCAATTAAACACATTAAAATAAAGTGTTACTCTATGGCATAGAATGTAAAACCCTTAATACTGATGGCCACAATAAATATTTTATACAGACCAACCAAACTTTCAGATTTTTCTCATTGCTTTTCTCTCCTAAAATAGTCGGTTTTGAGCCTCATATCTACAAACCAACAATCACAAATGAGTTTCTGAAGTTAAATCCCCAGAAGCATTTATGCAGTGGCATTAGGTTTTTATGGTTTTCTTTATTCCTTTTTTCCCTCCCTCCCTCTTTCCCTTCCTTCTTTTTTCCCTCCTTTTCACCCCTCCCTGTCTTCCTTCCTTCTTTCTATTTGTTTTGTTTTGTTTTGTTTTTGTAGGCTTTCTTGAAGACTTTAAATGAGGAAAAAAGAGGAGAGTTTATTTAACATTACAGCTTTGGAGGTGCCTATTAATTCTTCCATTCTTCTTAGGGGGTAGCTATCTAGTTTTTTAAAAGAAAAAATTTTGTATTATAGAAAAATTTGAAAGTAGAAAAATTAGTATTAAGGAGCATTTGGGCACAGTCTCCTCAAGAGTGCTCTCACTTCCAACACCAATTGTAAGTTTAGTGGGTTCCTGAAGCCGTGCTCAGTTTTGATAATTTGCCAGAAAGATTCCCAGAGCTCACTGAACGCTGTTATATTCACAGTTATGGATTATTTCAGCAAAAAGATACAGATGAAAGTGAGCCAAGGAAAGAGGTGCACAGGGCAGAGTCCAAAAGAAGTACCAAACACAGAGAAGCCGTTGTCCTCTCTCCGTGAGGTCAGGACACAGCACTCTCTTGCCATTAATGTGTGACAGTTCACACAGAGTACTGGCAGCTGAGGAAACTCGCCTGAGCCTTTGGTGTCCTGATTTTTTACTGGGGCTCATCACATGCTGCCTGCATGACTGACCTTTAGTCATCAGCCCCTCCCAGAGGTCAGGCTAGTTTCCAGTTCCCCTCAGGGGTCAGAACTGACGCTGTGTGGCCCAATGCTCCCATCATAAACCACATTGTGATATGGTACAGTGGCCAAAGCCCCCAGTAAACAAAGACACAGTCGGGATACTCCAGGGGACCAAAGATGATCTCCCAGTAGCCAAGAGCAAAAGCCAGACCCGTCTTTAGGTAAGGTTAATTCTCCACTACACAAGTACAATAACCACCCCCGCCCAAGCTTCTGCCTATACTTATCATTTAAATTCAAAATTATAATACCAATAACAGCCAATCTTGTTTCATCTGATAGTGTGCCAGAGTCAACTCATACTAGTTCACAGGAACTGATTGTTAAATATTTAGCAATTTTGTAAGCTGGTTGTTAAATGCAGCTGTTCTAAAAAATTTGGTTACACAAACTTACAGTTATGCACTGAATAATGACATTTTGCACCACATAATGATGTTTTGCTCAACGATGGACCGCATATACAATGGTGATCCCTTAAGATTAGTACCATACGGACTAGTGTGCAGTCGGCTATCCCATCTAGGTTTGTCAGTACACTCTATGATGCTAACACAATGATGAAATCACCTAACAACACATTTCTCAGAACGTATCTCCCTTGTTAAGTGATGCATGACTTTATAATTACATAAATTAGATTAAAAACAAAAGATACTAAATGTTCAAAACTCATCATTTTATGATTATTTTACTATTAATATACTCTTGATCTTATTTACATCTACTGTATCTGTATGATGAAAACTCTATAGAGAGTTATGGTACCGTGCATCTCTTTCCATCTCCGTGTTCAATGATATCACACTGGCAGCATGAAATCAACCATGGTCAGGATATTTACACCAAGAAATTCAACAAATGCTATGAATCAGGATATTTTTTGATACTCTTTAATTTCGAGAAGCATATTTCTGTGGACCCAACTGTTACTAGAGCTGTGAAGAGTATTTTATAGGCTGTGACAATGTTGGGATACATTTCTAATAAATTATTATTTAAAATTTCTGATAAATAGTACTTCTAGAGCTGATGATTCTGATGGAATAATTTTTCTAAAAAGATTTAACTCCATACAAATCAGTTTGTTGTAAGTCTGAATTTAATTTTAATGTAAATTTATACAATGATATTTTGGTGTTTCCCTTTGACATTTCCTTTAAATTGTGGAGGTTGTAGAAGAAACTAAAAGTGGCTTTTTGATTTGCATACAATTAAAATGTAAAATAAAAATGTATGTAATTAAAATTTCATTCATATGAACATACTGTTTTTCTGTTGTATACGATAATCTTAAAATTTCATTTCTATTTCTAAGACTGTGGACATTTGCTTTGCAATGTTGCTAAAGTTTTCAAAACCAAAGATTCTAAACTCTTTGAAGAAGTCTAGTACTTGATATACTTTATTACAATGTACATGTGTATGCTTTTATCTTGTAGTGATTTGCTGGCAAAGCTTATTGCCAGAGAGCCAGAAACTGCAAGATCACAGATAGTTTTTTATATTCTTTCATGTTAATTCTGTGCAGATGCCACACAGATGGGTTCCATGGATGGAAGGGAAGCCAGTTTACCTCCCTGGAGAGTCTTGCTTCTCTCGTGGGGCTGCAGCCACCACTGCTGCTTCTGCTGGTGCCATTCCTGCCATCAGTCTGGGTACAGTTGTTCCGCAGACCATGTGGCACCCCAGACTGTCCCACACTTGCCCTGGCTGGTGCTGAGCCAGCTTATTAGGGTGCATGTTGCCTTCTACCATAGGCCCACAGGGTGGCGGGGTAGGTAAGTAACAGTGGGCCCTCCAGGACCAGTTCAACTGACCCCATCTCTTATCAATAGAGTGATTAAGAATTGCCTTTCAGAAAATGTGCAAAGTCAAGTAGCCAGAGCATGAGCAGAAGAAGAAATCTTGACCTGAAATGATTGTGGAACCAACGATCCTCCTCTCCACAGAATCAAAGGACCAGGACACGACCGGAACTTGAAAGTTGGACTCTTATCAGAACAAGGGGTCCCTCATGCAGGAAGAGCGGCGTTAAAATTCCTTCCCCACCTCATCATAAATGTTTAGAACCCTGTCATTAAAGTTTAAAACTTTATCATAAATGCTTGAAGCCCACCAAGCAAAACTTGTCCGTCCAGTGTTTCCAAGTGCCAGCCTGCTCTCCCTAACCTCTTAAATTTCGTCCCAAATCCTGAATCACAGAGACAGATCTGAGGGCACATACCCCCTGTCTCCCTGCAGATCAATCTTACAGAATAAAGCTGATTTCTCCCCCAAAAACTGATGCTGTAATCAATTGGCTGTTTATGCATATTGGGCAAGAGAATCCCAATTTTTTTCCTGGGAACAGGCTTATTCTGATTTTCTTGTCCTTTTCTGTATTTTTTGTATTTTATTCAAGAAAAGGTAATAGTTAATAACTAGACAACAAAATCTATTTTTTTAATGTAAATTATGTTATCAGTTCTTTTCCTGAATTTCTGCCTTTCTAACATTGGATTTGTCCCTTTCTGTGGGGCTTACCTGAACAGGGTGTATTAGGCTGGGAAAGCACAGTGGGCAGTAATTCAGAATTTGTTTTATTAAACTGTCTACATGCCCTCAATTTATTTTCAGTTGTGTCCTTCTCTCTCTGACATTAACACTCTTATACTACTTTCCTTAACACAGAATAGCATTGAATCAGGAAATGATCGAGCTGCAAAGGAACTGTGTAATTAAAAAGATCATTTACTTATTGGTTTGTCCTTGAGAGGACTCGAGATACCCCACTATTTTAGAGTAAATTAATCCCAAATTCATCATCTGAACTAAATAGAATCGAGATGCCAAGGAACCCAGCTTAATGAAACTCTCTGTGCTCAGAAACCTGGAATCCCACTTAGAGATTTCTTTTATCTCCTCCCCTTTCTATTGTCTCCCCTTTTCCTATTGTCTATTGTCCAGCTCTGGTCCTTTTTCACTTCTCTCCATTGTCATTGTGAATTCGGATAACTTTTCACCTAAAAAAGAAAACACATGAGAAGGGGGTGGGCAGGGCTGTACCTCCTATGCGGGTGATTTGAGGAAGAAAAGGTCTACTCTTGATAAAAATGTGTAATTAGAGTCACTCTCTGGATTAAGACATTGTCTCAAGGAAGCCTCTATTAATTATAGGTAAGGATTGATACATTGGCCTACTATACCTACTATCAGTTCAGCAAGGACAATTTCACTATCCTGTCAGCTGTGAACTTAGAAAGTTAGACTTTTACCGTGTTAACCTTACACAAACACACACACAATCTGAGCAGCTTTGGTCATCCAGCCCAGTCCTTAGCACATTGTAGCCCAAAGTATACCCTTAATATGTTTTTATTAAATTGATGTGCAGGTGAAGAGGCAAGGCTGTCATGTGTTCTGTGGGCAGACTGTAGACTCAGGTGTGTGTGCGGTCTGGATATTAAAGCGATCAAGGCTCAAAAAGTTTTGAGGCAAGGATGAAAACATCGATGCTTGGGTTTTTCAGTTTCATTTCTCAGTCACTAATTTTCACCTCACGAAAAAAACACAAAGTGAATGGGATGAAATGCATCGTGACTTGGAATACGTTTGTCTTAATTTATTGAGTTTTCAATGGCTCAGATAGACCTTAAAATTCTTTAAAAATAAATTGGTGTAGGGGCCAGCCCGTGACCGTGACCGAGTGGGTGAGTTCTCGCGCACTGCTTCAGCGGCCCAGGCCCAGGATTTCGCTGGTTTGGGTCCTGGGCGCAGACGAGGCACCGCTCGTTGAGCCATGCTGGCAGCGTCCTACATGCCACAGCCGGAGGGACCCACAACTAGAAGTACAAAACTAAGTACGGGGGACGGGGTTGGGAGAAAAAGGAAAAATAAACTCTTTAAAAAATAAAAATAAAAATTGGTGTAGTAGAGAGTCACACAAATGCTCAGTCAGTATAACAATTTCTGCCTTTTACTTTACAGTTCTTTTTAGATTAACGAAACTTTTAAGGACTTTGAAAGGATGGGAATAAAGTAGCGAATTTTGTATTTTAAGTTTTCCTATCTGGATATGTCAAATTCTAGGTAACTTCAATAACACACAGCAGTAGAAATTTATACGGCGCCTCAGAGTTACCGAGTTTTCAAACCTGGAGAAATTCTGGTAATCATGACTCCGGGATACCTAATTTATTTACGTATTACAATTAGTACTTTAAAAAAAACCTTTCAGAAAAAACGGGAAGACGGATAGCCAAAGCCAGAGCCCTTAACGCAGTTGTTTTTTTCTTTTTTTTCCAATCGTATTACATCATAGGAACAGTTCAAACACAGCCCAGGAAGCAATAATCAGACCCAAGTGATCTTTAGATGGGAAGAAAAAGTAGTTTGCTCGGCATTTCCCAGATTGTCTTAATAGTTTCAGTAAAAAGTAGAACGAGAAATGTTTCAGCAGCCTGTTCAGCCCCCAGCCGCAAACCAAAATCGAACCCGGGACTTTTCCTAGGCGCGAGCAGAGCGGCGGGTGGTGACGGGAAAGAGCCGGGCGCCTCTGACCGAACCGGGCCGGCGGGCAGGAGCCCTGGGCCGGGGAGGCCCCTCCTCTGGGCTTTCGGAAAGCTGCTGGAAGCGCCCTTTCCCCGCGGGCTCCTCCACCCGGAGGCCGCCACTGCGGGACGCAGGCGGGTGGGGGACAGAAAGGCCCGGGAAGGAGACCGCGGGGACGGCGACGGGACGCGAGCGCGGGGGCCGGGCCGAGAGCGTGTCCCCGGGCGACGCCGCTGCTGTTGTCCCGGGTGCTGAAGAGCCGGGAACTTCCCGGGAGCAGCGGCCACTTTCCTCCCTCGGCGCGCGGGGTGGGGGTCCAGGGTGCGCACCTGCTCAGCCCGTCCTGGCCCCGGGCCCGGAGGCGCCGGCCAGATGCGGCCTCCCCGGCCCGGTTCAGGGGGAGGAGGTGGATGGGGGGCGGTGCGCATCGCCGGGCGCCCCAGACCGGACCCCGGGCGCCCCTTCCCCGGCCCTCGGGCCGCCCCGTGCCGCGCCCTCCGCTCCACCTGCGCGCGGACTCGGGCCGCCGGGGGACTCGGGCGCTCGCGGGCTGAGGGCGGCGGGAGCCGGGCAGGGGCGCAGGGTGCCGGGTGCGTGGAGAGAGCGGCCAGCGTCCGGGGATTGGGGGGGTGGAGGAAAGAGCGCGCGGGGCATGCGCAGTGGGGCGGAGGAGGTGGCGATGGCCGGGGGAGGCGGGGGGACTGCTGTTTATTTGCAGCTGGGCCAACTCGGCGGCGCAGGCGGCGGCGGAGCGCGGGGCGCCAGCGGCGGGTCCAGCGGCCGCCGCACCATGCCCGAGCCCGCCTCCGGGCAGCCGCCGCGCGCCGCCGGGGCCCCGGCCGGGGAGGATGCCAGACGCCCAGGAGAGGCCAGGGCAGCGGCGGCGGCGGCGGCGCGATGGTGGTGACCAGCTCTGCCCGAGGCGGCGGCGGGGACCGCGCGCCCTCCCGGCAGCGGGGCTGCGGACTCGCGCCGGCCGGGGCTGCGGCGCTGCTGGCCGGGGCGAGCTGCCTGTGCTACGGCCGCTCCCTGCAGGGCGAGTTCGTGCACGACGACGTGTGGGCGATCGTGAACAACCCCGACGTGCGGCCCGGCGCCCCGCTGCGCTGGGGCATCTTCACCAACGACTTCTGGGGCAAGGGCATGGCCGAGAACACCAGCCACAAGTCCTACCGGCCGCTCTGCGTCCTCACCTTCAAGTGAGTCCCTCGCCGCGCGATCGCAGCCGCTGCTGTTTCTCTTTACTCCCTCACCCCGGCTGGGAGAAGTTGCGGGACTGGCTTGGGGGGCGTTTCTTTTCTTGCCGCCCCCTCCCTTCCACGCCTCCCACCTCTCCCGGACGTCCAGGGCACTCTGCTCCGTGGTCCTCGGCTCCGCTTCTCTGGGCTCCCGGGTGGTTGCGGAGGCGCGGTCTGGGGAGTTGGGATCGAGTTTCTCAAGAGTCTGCGCTGTCGGCGGGCTGCCTCTGGGGCAAGGGCTGGGAGGGGGCCGGTAGAGCTGCCTCTTCTCCCCCCACCCCTGCCGCACGGTGTACAGGAGACACCGACGGAGCCCAAGGAGCTCCGGACGGATGGCTGTGGTGGTGATGCTTCCAAGTTGGGAATTTCTCAGAGGCTGTTGGGCAGCTTTGCAGATGCGAAGCGTATCAGTCCCGTAGGGGCCGCGTTCCGCGGAGAGGAGGCGGCAGCGCACTGCCAGGGCTGCGTGGATTTTGGGGAGGAACAGAGGAGGGAGCAGAGTATCGTCTCCCACCTTGCGCCCGAAGCCTTTCCAATCTGCCAAAAGGACTCTGGATTTAGACTTTAAAAGGTGCAAAGCAAAGGAATGCAGAAAAGTGGGGTCCTCTGGGGATCCTGGCGTCCCAGTCGAAATAGTTTTTCTTTTACAACCCCGGAGGAGTCATGATTCAGCATTTCTGGTGTGGATAAAGTCTAAACGGACCCGAGAGAACGCCAGGTTCTTGTAGGGTGGAGTATTTTCTTGAATTTGAAAGAGGGCTTAGCTTCAGCTGGAAGGAGAGAGGGACTGATAGGAGGGAAGTGCTGTCTCGTACATCATGGGCTTGACTCTTGAGCCCTTATAATTTGGCTCAGCATTCAAGCTTATGATATGCCAGAGAAAAACTGTTGAAATAATATTGGTTCAATATCATCAGCATTTTAAGCCTTTTCCAATGGGTGTAATATGAACCCGTCTTTATGGTAATGATCATTCGAGACGTGGTAGGCAGCTTGAAAAGCCTGCCCCTGGCAGGGAGGCCAAGGTCTCTTGACAGGTGGCTCTGACGACTTAGAAAAGGAAAGCATAGCAATTGGCAACAATTCATGGGCTTTTGACTTAATTCTTCCATTGAAAGTTTAATGTTTTAAGGAGGGTGAGGAAATTGCACATTTGACTCTAAAGAGAATATTTTATGAATATTTGTCCTCTTGGAAAGTGGTTTTGGTTTTCAGCTGAAAGATAACCTCAGCTACTGAGTTGCTCAGTATTTTTCAAAATGTTTCTTAAAATCTCCTCCGTTGGCACAAATATAAACGTTTATCTTCTAGGGTGACCTGCGTTTTCATTTGTTACAGAGAGGGTTGGTTGATGGTTAATTTAAGGGTGGAAACTCACAGCATGAGATGTGCTGGACTTTTGACATCCACGGAGACCGTCTTCATCTCTGGTCTGGGCATTTTGCATTTTAAAAAGTCAAGGTCAAATGCCTGTGCCCTAGTTGGTGGAGGGTTGGGGAGAGGGCTTTCGCTTCTTGACTTTCTGAAATTTCTTTATTCGTGCAGGAGAAGGCATGGGCAGAAGAGAGGGCAGTGGAGGAAGGGAGCAGACAGTGAGGCGAGGCCATTGATGAAGAGGCAGGTTACCAGGAGTTTGGCAGAACAGGGGCAAAGGAAAAGGATAGTTGGGGGCACCAGATGCAACTCTTCCCTGTGGTAATCTGATTATGGAAAGATGCATTGCTCTTTCTATATTGTCTTTTACTGCCTATGTCAGATATACATTTGTTTTTGAGAAGATTGCGTTGCAAATCTAGAGAGCAACACAGCACTAATTACAAAGAGATAGGTGCCTCTTCAGAAAGAGAAAGTTAACTAATCTTTCTGTGCTCGCAGGCATTGGTTTAAATAAGACCGGGAGGCTTTCTTTCCACAGTCACCGGAGTTAAAACTGCATCTTCCAGTGCAATAGCACAAAGCTGGGCATGTGTAAGGGATGACATCGATGATGCTAGACCCACACAGCTCTAAAGATTGTTGCAAGGAAGGACAGAGAATCATTATTAACTGCTCGGTGTGAACCAAGCATCGACCTAGGCACTTCACACAGATTATGTCTTTATGATTTTTATTTTAGGTAGTTGGTGAAAACACAAAGTGGCCTTGTAAATATATGCAAACTATCTTAACTTCATCTTAAGTTAGGCTTGTTTGAATAAAAGTCTTTGAGAATTCAAAACCATTCTTATTTATTTTTATTGTGGTAAGAACATTTAACATGAGATTTACCATATTAATTTTTTAAGTGTACAATAAAGTATCATTAACTACAGGCACAATGTTGGACGCAGATCTCTAGCACTTACTGCTCTTGCATAACTGAAACCGTGTACTTGTTGAACAGCAACCCCACCCCCACCCCACCCTTGGCAACCACCATTCTACTATCTGTTTCTATGAGTTTGACTATTTTAGATACCTCATGTAAGTGCAATCATGCAGTATTTGTCCTTCTGTGACTGGCTTTTTTCACTTAGCATAATATTCTCCAGGTCTGTCTGTGTTATTGCGTATGACAGGACTTCCTCCTTTTTTTTTTTTAGATTTTATTTTTCCTTTTTCTCTCCAAAGCCCCCCAGTATATAGTTGTGTATTTTTAGTTGTGGGTCCTTCTAGTTGTGTCATGTGGGATGCCTCCTCAGCATGGCCTCATGAGCAGTGCCATGTCCATGCCCAGGATTCGAACTGGCGAAACCCTGGGCCGCCGAAGCGGAGCACGTGAACTCAACCACTCAGCTATGGGGCCGGCCCCAGGACTTCCTCCTTTTTAAAGGCTGAGTAATATTCCATTGTATATATATACTTTTCTTTATCCGTTCATTTGACAATGGGCATTTAGGTTGTGTCTGTATCTTAGTTATTATGAATACAGTGAAGATGGGAGTGCGTATATCTCTTCAAGACCCTGCTTTTAATTCTTTTGGATATATACCTGGAAGTGGGATTGCTGGATCATAAGGTAGTTCTATTTTTAATTTTTCTTTTAAAGATTTTATTTTTTTCCTTTTTCTCCCAAAGCTCCTTGGTACATAGTTGTGCATTTTTCAGTTGTGGGTCCTTCCACCTGTGGCATGTGGGACACCGCCTCAGCATGGTCTGACGAGCAGTGCCATGTCTGTGCCCAGGATTCAAACCGGCAAAACCCTGGGCCACCGAAGCAGAGTGTGTGAACTTAACCGCTCAGCCACGGGGCTGGCCCGTATATTTTTAGTTTTTTGAGCAACCTCCATACTGTTTTTTATAATGCCGGTACAACTTACATTCCCACAGCAGTGCACAAGGGCTCCATTTTCTTCACATCCTCACCAATACTTATCTTTTATGTTTTTGATAATTGCCGTTTTAACAGATGCGAGGTGATAACTTGTGGTTTTGATTTGCATTTCCCTGATGATTAGTGATGTTGAGCATCTGTTGTACCTGTTAGCCATTTGTATGTTTTCTTTGGAGAAATGTCTATTCAATTCCTTTGCCCATTTTTGTTTTTTTTTTAAAGCTCCACAGAGGCCAGGATTTTTGTCTTATTTTTTTTTTAAAAGATTTTATTTTTTTCCTTTTTCTCCCCAAAGCCCCCCGGTACATAGTTGTATATTCTTCATTGTGGGTCCTTCTAGTTGTGGCATGTGGGATGCTGCCTCAGCGTGGTTTGGTGAGCAGTGCCATGTCCGCGACCAGGATTGGAACCAATGAAACACTGGGCCGCCTGCAGTGGACTGTGCGAACTTAACCACTCGGCCATGGAGCCAGCCCCTCCTTTGCCCATTTTTTAATCAAGATAGTATTATTATTATTTTTTTTACCTTGAGTTGTAGGAGTTTCTTATACATTTTGGATGTTAATAACATCAGATATATAGTTTGTAAATATTTTCTCCTTTTCCATAGGTTGCCTTTTCACTCTGTTGATTGCCTACTTTGCTGTGCAGAAACTTTTTAGTTTGATGTCATCCCACTTGTCTAATTTTGCTTTTATTGCTCATAATTTTGGTGTCATATCTAAAAAATCATTGCTAAACCTAATATGAAGTTTTCCCTTCTAGGTTTTTCTTCTAGGAGTTTTACAGTTTCGGATCTTAAGTTTAAATTTTTAATACATTTTAAGTTGATTTCTCTGTATGATGTAAGATAAGGGTCTATTTTCATTCTTTTGCGTGTGGATATCCAGTTTTCCCAACACCATTTGTTAAAGAGACTATCCTTTCCTTATTGTGTATTCTTGACCCTTTTGTTGAAGATCATTTGACCGTATAGGTATAGGTTAATTTCTGGGCTATCTATTCTTTTCCATGGGTCTGTATGTTTGTTTTTATGCTAGTATCATACTGTCTTAATTACTGTACCTTTGTAATAGTCTAAAATCAGGAAGTGTGATGCCTCTAGCTTTGTTCTTTCTCAAAATTACTTTGTATATTCAGGATCTTTTGTGGTTCCATGTGAATTTTATAATTTCTTTTCCATTTCTGTAAAAAATGCTATCAGGATTTTGCTATAGAATACATTGAATCTGTAGAGGTTTTGAGTAGTATGGACCGTTTAACAATATTAAGTTTTCCAATCCATGATCATGGGATGTCTGTCCATTGATTTCTCTACTCTTTAATTTTTTTCATCAATGATTTGTAGTTTTTTTTTTAAAGATTGGCACCTGGGCTAACAACTGTTGCCAATCATTTTTTTTTTCTGCTTTATCTCCGCAAACTCCCCCTGTACACAGTTGTATATCTTAGTTGCAGGACCTTCTAGTTGTGGGATGTGGGACGCCACCTCAACGTGGCCTGACGAGTGGTGCCATGTCGGCGCCCAGGATCTGAACCCTGGGCCACCACAGCGGAGCGCATGACCTTAACCACTCGGCCACGGAGCCGGCCCCTGATTTGTAGTTTTGATTGTACAGGTTTTTTACCTTTTTGGTTAAGTTTATTC